CCAAGAGGGAACAGGCAAGGTAAATTCTTTTATTCTGTGACATTCTTATCTAAAAAATAAGGGAAATTACATATATTTTTGGAGGGCAAATTTCATCCCATGGAATTTTTTCCTAATAATTTTTTTAAATTTTACTAAGTTGCAGATTCCTTGGGGTGCATAGGGTATTCACGGACGACTAGCACCTCTGGTATGAGGGCTTGCTGAGCCCTTTTCAGGGCTGCTCGTCCACCTTTGGTCTCTACTTGTCACCCAACTCTCACCTGTGGCTCCAATAAGCTGTAGCATGTGCAGCAGCCCCACCCCAGTGAAACCATCCGAGCAGACAGGCTAAACCACGTCGAGGTTAACCGACAGATCCCAAAACTATTGCCAAGTTGGGGGATATCTTCCCCAAGCACGTGAAGACTTCTCCTGGTGGCACGGGCAGACAGAACAATCTGTTCCAACACCCATGAAGGCGGCTGAAGCAGATGCTGGGGAGTGCTTAGAGGATGGTCAGACATCAAAGATGCCAAGGTCATCCACTGCATCCCAAGCCATTGCCAATCATTCTTTTATCTTGCCACTGAACCTTGAGGACTTTGGAACAGACAGAGAATATGAAGACTTCGCACACTTCTGCCTCACTTAAATCCAGTTCATGCATAAGATATCACCCATGATGTCATTAGCCCACTTCAAAAGAAAGGATAAACAAGGTTCCTTGAGGGCAGGAGCTGTCTTACACATCTTTGGATTTTCATTCTTAAGGACCTGGAAGAATGTCTCACACATTGTAGATAACCAATAAATGTTTAATTTCATTTCTAATAATGTTATTGACCTTTTATCCTGATAGTCCCACTATTCCCTATATCTCTTTCTTAAGAAAACAAGAAAAGTGGTGAGATTTCAAAGCCAGGGATGAGATAATAGCAATAGTAATTTTCCTTGGTCTAATCCTTTTAGGAAAGGCTAGGAAGACTGATCCAAAACGTCAAAGTGTGAGGATGAAAAGGATGCAAGCTCCTCACTACATAAATAAAAAAGGCAAACAAAAAAACCAAAGAGAAAAATTGTTCTAAATAATACAAATAAAAACAATGAAAAATTTAAAGTGAGAAAAGCACTGATACAATTTTAAAATGCTGTACAACAACCAAAGCAGTTATAATACGAGAAGTAAAAGAAATGGAGGAGGAAGGGGAAGGTATTCGATTTACCAAGAGACATCCTCATGTGAGAAAGTGATGATAAAAAACATTCAAATAAATTAAGCAAAAATTAGTATTCTAAGGTAAATCACAAGACTAAAGAAAAGGCTGAAGAAAGTAAAAATATGAGAAATCTATTACTTAATTTATAATGTAAATGTATAACTTGTCTATATGTTATATATATATATATATATCTATCTTACATGTAACTTTTTTAAATGGATGTTATCACACAGATGAGGATCCTCCATTCAACGATGCACATCACAACCTATCTACATCTGCCAATCCTGTACAATTCTTGTCAATCCTCCACAAGTTAACAAGAGTACTTTATTCATCGGTTATCTCGTGCTGCTCCTACTCTATGACCAATATTTTTGATTGTACATCTGTCCATTCCTTTATGTCACTTCTATTTAATTCTTACTTTGTAATGTGTTGTAGACAAGGCCTCTCTGTTTTCGGCATCTCGAAATTTAACTTCTTTGAGGACTGTAATATTCCATGATTTAGTAACACAGCACCAGATTTTTTTAAAAATCATAACTGTAATTTCATCAGTGTCGGGAGCTCTCAGTGAGAAAATTTTCTCCACCAATGCAGATATGCTAATGCCCCACATCAGCTGGAATTACCAGAATAATAGTATTAGAAAGATGAGGCTTTGTTTCAGAGATAAATTTGGGGTTTTTAAATACACTATACAAATTCCCAAAGGCAATCCTGCTAGGAGAGAGGGAGGGAGAGAATAGAGAAGAGAGATCCTCTAATACATACTGGCTATATGACCCCATGAAAATCACTTAACCTTTCTGCGCTAGGCAGCCTAAGACTATAATTTTGAGGTTTGTGTTCAGTCACGTCCAACTCTTCATTTGGGGTTTTTCTGTACTTATCATTTCTTTCTCCAGCTCATTTTACATATGAGGAAACAGAGGCAAACAGGTTTAAGTGACTTACCCCTGATCACACAGCTACTAAGTGTTTAAGGCCTCTGAGGCCAAATTTGAAATCAGGTTTTCCTGACAACTCCAAGCTATGCTCTATCCACTACACCACCTACCTACCCTTGAGAGAAGGTGCCAACCTGCACTAGTCATTCCTCATCCAGTAGCTGCCCATATCAATGAAATTACAAGCCCAATCCCTTTCCCAATCTACCTATTTATCAGAACAGCATTATGCACTTTACTGATATATGTTGATACAACAGATCAGACTAGCCAGCAGGCATTCTTCATCCACTTGTTTTCTTCACTTATGTCATCTGTAAGCAGGCAAGCCAAAGAGACCTGGGAAAAGCAATGATCCACTCTTTTCATTTCACCTTCTCTTTCCCCACCCCTCACTCATCCATCATTCAGAAAAACCTCATAGATACAATCCAGCAACTACCTTTAGAGGTGTTGCAGACCCTACCCCTTCCTCAGCAGGAGCCATAGCTACTAATCAAGACCAGAAAATTCTCACCACCAGTCTTTGGCACCATCAAATGGTATAACATGAAAAACAGATATGGCTTTATCAGTGGAAAAGACACTAAAAGAAGTTGGATGACATGTCGGCTTGTAGGAATTGTTCAATTTGGAAACAGGATAATAATGATAGCTAACATTTGTATGGTACTATATGCCAGGCACTGTGCTAAACACTTAAATTATCTTGTCTGACCTTCACAACAGCCCTGGAAGGTTAGTGCTATTATTATCCTCATTTAACAAATAAGGAAACTGAGGTAAACAGAAGTTAAGTACTTTGCCCAGGTCAAACAGCTAGTGTCTGAAACTACATTTGAACTCAAAGTGTTCCAGACTCTAGACCCAACATCCTATCCATTGCACCAACTAGCTGCCCCAAACATAGTTTATGCCCATCAAAAGGCTAAAACTCAGAACACAAATGTAAAAGATTATCACTGTTTCATAACAACGAATATCAAAAATTCAGAGAAGCATGTGACTTATATGAATCAATGCAGCAAAGTACACACAAATAGGAAGACAATTAAAACAATGGAAATGGAAAGAGCAAAAACACAAAACTCAGTGCTGCATAATTATCACTAAGCTGACCTGAAAAAGAAAAAGAATGCATTTAGCTACCTTCATTGCAAGTAGGGGTCTAATGTTTGGAACACTGCATACTTTTGTCAAACTCAATTCATAAAGCTCATTAGTTTTACTGTACCTAGATCTGAGAAAGATAAGGTGAAAGATCATTAGCCAGATCCCACAGACCTATGGGATGGGAGCCTGAGACCCAAAAGAAGTAAGCTGGAGATCAGCAGCATGCCACAGAGATGGCCAGGTAAGAGGTAATCTTTCACACAGCATATAAAGATTACAGAGCTTTACTATCAACACTGTGATCTGAAATCAAGAAGCTATATTTTTGCTATTGAGAAAGGAGTTCTGGAAAATAATAGCTTAATGTCTGATAAACCCAAAAAGATAGATAACTGGTGAAAGAACTTTTTTTACATGAACTACTGAGAAAGCTAGAAAGCAATGTGGCAGAAATTAGAATTAAACTATCATCTTACAACACAAGCAACAGTAAATCCAAAATTAATAGATGACTTAAATATAAAGGGTCACGCTATAAAAAATAAATAGAAAACATCAAGTACTTTACAAAACTATGGTTGGAGAATTCCTAACCAAAGGACAGGAGATCATAAAAGAAATAAGACAATTTTGATTACATAAAATTACAAAGCTGATATTCAAAATATAAAGGGAAATGACAAACATTACCAAAAGCCATTACCCAAAGGACATTAAAGTTTTCAAATGAAAACCTGCAGACTATAAATGACTACATGGAAATACTCTAAAATCCTAAAACCAAGAGAAATGGAAATTAAAACTCTTAAGTTTCATTCCATGTAAACTGGCAAAAATGCAAAAAGGAAAGGAAAGGAATAGTCAATTTTGGAGTGGCTGGGGGAAGCTATATGCACTGTTAAAGGAGTGGTACACTTACCCTGTTTTAATTTAGAATTATGCAAAACAAGTATTACCACAAAAAAGTCAAAGATAAGGTCCCACATACACCAAAATGGTCAATACAGCATTTCCTGTGGTTGTGATGAACTGGAAATTGTGTTCCATCACCTGGAGAATGGCTGAAGAAACTATAGTAAGAAATGACAAATATGAGGAATTAAGAGAAAAATGGGAAAATGAAATTAATGCAAAGCAAAATAAGCAGAACTGAGAACAATACACACAATGACTAGAACGATGCAATGAAAAGACTACAGAAAGGAAGTTATACTTGGAGTAATGAAAACAACGAAGAGACACTAAAACACCTCCCCCACCTTGTGGCATAAGTAGCTACTACAACATGATATCGCATATACTGTCAAATAGTTTCAGCATCAAATGTTTTCGTTCACTTGTTTTTTCTTTTTCCTTCACAAGGGAGGGTTCAATCAGGGCTAGAGAGGGTGAGGTAGGAAATGACTCCAAGTAAGGACAAAGGTAGCAATAAAAACTTTTTCCCCCTCCCAGGGAAAGGAATTCAGAATGTCAAGTATTCTATGCTGGTTTGGTCCATAATTTATTTCTTTTTTTTTCCTACACAGAAAATACCTGGTTTTGAAAACTTGAAAACTATACTGTGGTTTTGATATTACCTAAAATACTTGCTAATACAAAATACTAAATAACTTTCCAATAAAACAAAGGCATTTTTTTTAAGCCTAAAAGATACTTTTCCCACAGACAAGGAGAAACACAAATCTTTTGGCTCTTCTACCTTATCCCAAAATTCACATTTTTAAACCCATCATTACAAAAGATATACAAAATATTTACTTCTGAAAGAAAACATTGTAACAGGTTGTAAAGTATCAAAGATTAATTTCCTATATCACAAAATATTTTTACAAGTACTCACCACCTTCAACGTTATTTTTATCATGTCACACTACAGAACTAGTTCTAATTCCAAATCATTCCTTGATATCATTACATATTTTTACTATAGAAACTTTATTTCTTTTCAAACATTTAGCAGCTGCAGCAAAAACAAAATTCCACACGCCCCTGAAATTATAATATTAAATATTTTTATCTTTTAAAGTCCATCATGCTGAGGGAAGAAAACAGAAATAGAGGTTGGGTCATAAACGGTAAAGGTAACTATCATTTAATGATTAGAGACAATTAAAGTATGTATTTACGTCAAAAAAAGAACAAAGGATATTTCATCATGAAAAATGTAGATAAGGAGCAGGCAATACCAAGAGCTCCAAATTTACTAAAAATAAACTATTCTTGGCTCCCATGTTTTGAAAATATATATTACATAGTTGCCTCAAGTTTCATTTCATTCATTTACTTTCCACAACCAAAAGTTTTATTCCAGTTTTCATATAGTTCCAAATCTTTTAGAGACACACTCGGACGCACAGTTCGGAAAGCATTTTCAAAATCAACAAAAGCTATTGGTCGAACTTGGTCCGGAGTGACTGTGGCAATGTCAATTGTCTGTAAACTTCGGATAGGACCTAAAGAAGCTTCTCGGCAAAGCTGTGTCATATCTGCTCCAGAGAACCCATCAGACTGCCTAACAATCAGGGATATTTCCTCTTCACTAAGGTCAAAGTGCTCCTTGGCCATCAGATTTTTTACTATCTGCTTTCTTGCTGAAGCTTCTGGGAGTGGAATATATAGTCTCTTTACCAATCTTCTCCGAGCAGCCTCATCAATTTCTTGTGGCCTATTAGTTGCTCCCACCACTAAAATACGTTCTTCAGAAGATGTGGTTGCTCCATCTAACTGAACCAAAAATTCAGTTTTTATCCTTCTGGAAGATTCATGCTCACCATCTCCACGCTGTGACAACAAGGAGTCAATTTCATCAATAAATATCACAGCTGGCTGCTGACATCTTGCAACGGCAAACAGGGCACGAACCATTTTCTCTCCTTCACCCACCCATTTAGAAGTCAAGGAAGAAGCACTGATACTAAAGAATGTTGCCCCAGACTGACTTGCAATGCACTTTCCAATTAGGGTTTTACCTGTTCCAGGAGGACCAAAGAGCAGGATCCCTTTAGGAGGCCCTCGTAATCCAGTAAAGATGTCTGGCCTCAACATAGGCCAAACAACTATCTCCTTTATTGTGGTTTTAGCAAATTCAACTCCTGCTATGTCTTCCCAGTTTACTGGTGGTCCATGATCCATGATCTCATTCATAATAAGTTCAATCATTTTTGGCTCTAAATTCTTCAAACGTTCATCAACTGGATGAGCTGGTTCTGTAGACACAGCCCCATGAGGTTTACACTGTGTTCCTCCTTTCTCATCTCTACCATCTTGTCTGGCTACGGGAGGAACAAACTTCCCAAATATTCCCCGAGATCTGCCAGCTCCCAGAGATTTTTTTACTCCACCATATGAAAAGCCTGGTGCACGCTGAGGTTGGTGGCCTTTCTTTTGCTGATCTATCCACAGTTGTTCTTTTGCAGTTTTAAAACTGGACAGGCTATTCTCAGCCCTGTGGCCACTGGCTTCTGTGTTACTAAGAGTATTATTCAGTGTGGGATTAGAAAGGGCTTCAGTACCACCACTGCCAGAATCAATCAGTGTCTTCTTCTTCCCAGGATTTCCACACCCGGAATGAAAAAAGGTTTGATTCGATGACATGTTTAATGCCACCATGTTGGCTTTTGTAGTATCACTTGCCATTTGGACATTTCCAAATAATGGAGTAACATGGAACTTTGCACTGGGCCCTTCATCTAAAGGCACTGAGGATGCAGGAAAGTCATCTGTAGTTTTGGTCATGATAGGCAGTTGACTATTCTGAGGGTGGATCAAGGATGCTGGTGTCTTTGGAATGCCTAATCTCTGTTCTGTACAATTAGGTTTGGGTGTAGAAAAACCAAAGGCACTGACCTCCTTATGGATTACTACTGATGCATCTGCTGGTGCCAACAAAGAATCTTTGAACTTTCTGCCAGCCTGCATCATCTCTTGCACACCATTTAATTTGAAAACATTATTTATTGTTAATCCAGATTGCCACTTGCCACTGTCAGTTTGCTGGCACCTTGTCATAGTCAAAATGTTTTCTGCATAGTTATTCAAGCCAGTCTCTACATTGTCAGAGTCAATAATTGCAGAGTATTTGTCTGCATATTTTCTGAAGAGTTTGGTAGCACAAGCCTGGGAGATCTCAGAATTTGCCAGAGCATACTGAATCCGTAAAATCTGTGCACGGAAGGCATCTGCCTTCTGGCTTGGAGTACAGGTGCCAGAGGTGATATCAAAGTAATTCTTCTGCCATTCACTCAAATGCAGAGATCTAGTGCTCGGGGTCTGCATTTTGGAGGTTCTATTAAAAAATAAGAAAAAAGAAAAAGGATCAGTATCAATCGCTAACATGTATAACAGGCATTTATATAGTAATTTAAGAACTATCAAGTGCATTATACACATTATCTCATTTGATTCTCATATTAGGCCTCTGAGGTAGGTACTACAGGCAAAAAAAAAAAAAAAGCAAAGAAGTCACTGTGTTAAGATTTTTCTACCAAGAATCTTAAACACATTTTAAAAAATAAAACCTTTTTCTAACTAATCAGCATCTTGAGAGGCAAGGTGGTGTAGTGGATAGAGGGCCAGCTTTGGAGCCTGGATTCAAGACCTGCCTCTGACATAAGCCTGTGATCACAAAAGCTAATAAATCATTTAACTGCTTAATGCACCAAGTACCTTTCTAAAATTGTAACAGAGAAGTTGCCAGTCTGTAATTGGGAGAGTTTCTATACTAATAAAATCACAGGCCCAAAGCAAAGAAAAAAAGAAAAAAGAAAGAAAAAACTAACTAATCAAACAACCACAAAAATCTAGCAGATAAATAGTATTCTTCACATAGTGAAGTGAACTTAAAATTCTAAAATAATTAAAACTCTTACCTGGAGAAATTCCTAACATAAGATCTCAGTTTAAACACAAACACAAATAAATGTTAATTGGCTATATTCTAGTTCTTCCTAGAACTAAGAACAGGGGGCCACATGTGGCCTCAAGGCCGAAGGTTCTCCACCCCTGGTACTAAACTATAACTAAGGCATGGTAGGAAGTCAATGAATTACCTGATATATTTGATTTACTCTCTGCAATCATTGATGGGTCATTTCATATGGGATTATAACTATTAAAAAGAAGAAACTGGCAATAATTATGATTAATGCAGGAAATTATGCTGCTGAATTAATAAATTATGATAGAGAGGTGAATTGGGACAAGTTGGGTTTCAAGCCTATCTCAGACACGTAGCAGTTGTTTGACTCAGCAAGCCTAACCTCTCAGTGCTGCAGGCAACTAATTTCTGTAAATAGGAGTAACTCTTCACCTTGCACATTAAATTACAAATAGCTATTTTGGAAATAACGGAATCTTATGACAGGAACACAAGAGGTGTTGGTCATGTGGCAAGGATAAACTGACCAATGCTCAGGCCTGTAGCTTGTTGAATAGACCTACTGTGTCATAGTTATGGGATATGGAAGAGAATAATAAGAGAGAATAGGCAGGTACGAATGTAATGGCAGGAACATTCATATTAATGAGGTCACAGATCCTCCATTTGACTATATTTACTTGAAACATACAGCTAGGTGACCCAGTATATACAGTATTAGACTTGCTGTCTGGAAGAGCTGTGTTCAAATCCTGCTTTAGTCCCTTTACTAGTTGAGTGACCCTGGGCACAGTCTTAGTTTCCTCATCAGTAAAATGGGAATATCAAGGACCTTCCAGGTATAGGAAGGATCAAACAAGATAACATACATACATACCTTAAAGTATTTGTTAACAGCTATTATTATTAAAAATTAAGTCCTAAAGCTCTTCGTTTATTAAGATATTTAATACCAGAATAACTTTATGCATTTTAAAAAAGACTCATCCCCTCAAGCTAATTCACGAGCAATCTTTACCCATCTCCCAAACAAAGTCAAATTCCAAGAAACGACTAATTTAGACTGATTTCACTTCCTCTACTAAATCCTTAGAATGCAACTTCAGTCATGTCTTTCAAACTATTTTCTCCAAGTTACTAATTTAACTGTCTCTCAATTTCAAAATTCAATGGACTTTGCTCAATCCCACATTTCTTACACCTATATCATTTTCTGTTCTCTCAAAGATCACCTCCCTTGGTTCAAGCCCTCCCCAGATAGATGTATTTCAACAGCCTGCCAATTGGTCTCCCTGCCAGAGACCAAAGCATCCTTGAAACATTGGCTAAAATGATTTTCCTACATCTCAGATCTGACCATGTCATTTCCCTAATCCAGTGGTTCCCATTTAAGGGTTAGCAAAGATGGTCCAAATGGTTCATGATAAAAATTCTTTCACAGTGTTTTAAGCAGTAAATAAACGCCAAACTACATTACAAATATATTTTCCTTTGTGACAACAAGCATACGCATGCTTTAAATATAGAGTTTCTTAAGTGATTTGGAGCTTTGAGGGATAAAAGTTATCACTGTAATTACCATAAGCACTTCATGCATAAATCTAAGACTGTGAGTAGTACATTAAATTATCCTATAAGTTTATGATACTTCTTTTTTTTTTTTTTTTTGGTGTTGAAAGGAGTTCACAGAACAAAAAATGTTGGGAGACATGCCTTAATCAAAAAGCTCCAATGATGCCTAAAGTCACAAAGAGCCAAGACTTGAGCCAGTCTTATCATTCAAACTTCAAATCCAGTGTTCTTTCCATTACATCACTCAATATGTTGTCAACAAAGTCCCTTTCCTCCCAACTTTACATATTCACCTTTTTTTCATAAAGCCCTTATTTAGTACAGGAAAACTCAAGGCAGTTATTATTCCAAGCTCCACAAAACCAAGCACCTTACATAAGGTAACCTCCCTGGGTAGGTCTCCTGGGAAATTAGAAGTTCGAAGGCCTCACCAATAAATAATGATTCAATCTATTTTATAGAAGTCAAATCTAAAATCCAAAGCGGTTTAGTGACTTGCCCAGGGTCACAAGAAGTCCAAGGAAACTAGTAACCCAGTAGATGGTAAGCTCCCTGAGAGGAGACACTGTCTTTTGCCTCTTTTTGCATTTCAAGTCCTAACACTGTGCCTAACACACAGTAGGCGCTTAACGTTTATCCAATTTAATTGAATCATGGCAGAGTCAGGATTCAATTGCAGGTCACTGAACTGGAACTAAAATGTATCTTAGAAGCCATCTAATATAATTTTACAAATGAGGAAACCAAGGCACAAAGCTGTTAAGTAACTTACCAAAGATCACACGGCTAATGTAAGTGTGTGGGTACGCAGGGGTAGGATTTGCAGCCAAGTCCTGACTCCAATTCCTTTGCTCTTTCCTTAGGCTACTGCCTTTCCCTCTAAGACGACCTTCCCTCCTGTGCCTCCACTAAAATGTAAGCCCATTAAGGGCAGCAATTGTTTCTTTACAGTACATGGCACACAGTCAGCGTTTAATAAATGCTGGATAACTGATGCCTCGGCCTCCATCCCTAGCTCAAAGCACAGTGCCGGGACCACGGCTGGAGCTTAATAAAAGTTAATGGGCTGAACGAGTGACTGTTCCCTGCTGCCCTCGGGGTCTGTCTTCCCCCACACCAAGGCGGCCCCGGGGCGGCGGAGGCGGGGGACTTGGGGGCGCCCGCCCAGCGCTGCGCGCCCAAGCCCAACCGCACAGCCAACCCCGCAGGGTCAGCACTTCCAGTGGAAGTCCGAGCCTTGGGGCATCTCCGGGTCCGTGCCTCAGTTTCCCCGGGAAAAGGACGGTGGCGGCGGAATTAAATTTCCCATCTTGCCCTGCAGATCCTTCTCAGACCTACCTACCTCACGCTTGAGGGGGACCCCGTGAGAAGGCCGTGGGGAAGGAAACGGTCAGGGGCTCCCCGAGTCCAGGACGCTTCAACTCGGAGTCCCGAGCGGGGAGACCCCCATGGCCACGACCACAAACGCCCTCCCCTCCCGCACGCGCGGGAGTCTGGTCTGGGACGCGCCCCCGAGCCGGGAGTGGGCGGGGCGGCCACGAGCCACAGCAGGCACGCACGCACGCACGCGCGCGCGCGAGGCGACGTCTACGTCTGGCGTCCCGACGCACGCAGCGTGCTAGCGTGCTTCCCGGCTCCTGTCGGATTCCCGCTCAGTGCTGCTTGTTGGCGTGGGAGCCGAGCCCAACGGGGAGGCTGGTCCCTGAGGAACTGAGGTGTAAGACTTGCCCCGGCGCACACAGGTAGTTAGTAACGGAAGCGGGATTCAAACCCATTCAATCCATCAGTCAATCAAAAGGCATTTAGTAATCCCAAACTGTGTGTCCGGCTCTGTGCTGAGGATGCCAAGAAATCAGTCAGCATTTATTGAGCACTTACTGTGTTCCAGACACTGTAATAAGCGCTTGGGGATACAAAAACATAAACCAACAGTATTCATTGAGCACTTACTGTGTTGCAGACATACTAAGGGCTGAAGATACAAGAAAATAAAAAAAAAAGAAAGAAAAAAAGAAACCAGTCAATAGCAGGAGTGGGATTTGAACCCAGGTGCTAGGACTCCAAAATCCTCTGCTCATTCCTGAAGCCACTCCCGTCTTTTGTTACAAGGAAAATTCTTTGTTCGGGCTTTCTCTTGATTAAGGGGATAAAACTTAGGACAAAGAGAATTAAAAGAAGTTTATTAAAAGTCCAACTGGGCGGGCTGACCACTGGAGATCCACAGATTCAAGACGGAGCCATCTTTTATTGATAACTTTCATAAGGAGATAAAGACAATTCATATAAGTCCAAGTCAGCAAAAAGGGATGGTCACGTAAAACACTTTATACAAATAAAGTCAGATCTAAATAATTGAAGTAATATTTATTGTTCAGGTAGGTAAAGACAATATAATAATTTTTAAAATGACAATTTCGCCTATTTATGTAATGCCATTACGATTAAAGTACTAAAAAATAGCTTACTGAGTTAGGAAAAATAGCAACAAAGTTCATTTGGAAGAACAAAAGGTCAGGAGCTTCAAAGAAACCAGAGGGAAAAAGATGTGAAGGAAGCAAATTCAATAGTATCAGACAGTAACTTTATTATAAGGTGAGATCATTGTTGAAGTGTAAAGTGGATAATTATGATCATTTTAAATTAAAATTTTCTTGTTTCAATAAAACCTATGCAGCCAAGAATAGAAGGAATGCAGAAAATTGGGGGGAAACTTTCATAGACAATCTCTGAAATTGAATGTGATTGTATTAGAATATTGCTATGTTATAGAAAGTGATGAGCTGGTTGATTTAGAAAAACGTGGAAAGACTTGGACATGAATGAAGGAAGGTGCTGTCCACTTTCAGAGAAACGGATGACAAGTGGAAATAAGCATAGTGTATGAGTGTATATTTGTATATGTGTTTATGTTTATAGATATCTATGTATATATATATATATCTCTATATATGTATATATATCTCCTCACTTCATTGTAGCCTTCTTGGGGGGAGGGGAAAAATAAAGTTAAAAGTACACAGCAGAGAACAAAAGAAAACCCACAAGAAAGCAATGAAAAGCTGGACAGGTTTGAAAACAATGTGGAGTATTTATTATATAGGTTTTCTGGAAATGAAAATTTATTGTTTTATATTGAATCCTCATGTTCTGCTGTGTACATGGCGATGTTTTTTTTTCTTTTCTTATTGTGTATTTAAGTTTAAAATAAATTTTAAAACTTACAAAAAAGGGGGATGGGTCATTGCATCCCAAGGGAGCAAGTACATGACAATTGTCAGGTGTATACAAACAGGTAGGGGTTACGTGGTACATGATGAATAGCAGGTAATACAAAGCTGCAGACTGGGTGAAGCCTCCCCCAATAGTTTTGACAAACTGGTCTGGAAACAATAGATCATTGAGTCAGCATAACTTTCGATACCCTCTAAGATTACTCTGGCTCCTTTCCATACCTCCTTTTTTTTACAATTTGTCTCCCTCCATTAGAATGTGAACTCATTAAGGGCAGGGATTGTTTCTCCCTGTCTTTGTACCCCACTCCCTCACCCTTCACTCCACCCCCCAGAACATGATACTTAGTAAATGTACTTATTGAGGTGCACTGTGCTGTTTGCTGATGATGCAAACAAAGGTAAAAACAAAAAACAAAAAAACACCCTGTTTTCCAGGAGTTCACAATCTAATTTGGGAGACAATGTTGCAAACAACTCTGTACAAACAAAATATATACTGGATAAATCGTAAATAGTCTACGGAGAAAGGCACGAGCATTAACGGGCACCAGGAAAGGCTTCTTGTAGAAGGTGGGAATTTAGCTGAGACTTCCAGGAGGCAGAGGTGAGGAGGGGGGACATTCCAGTCATAGGAAACAATCAGTGCAAAAGCATCGAGTCAGGAGATGCAGTGTCTTGTTAAAGGGACATCAAGCTGGTCAGTCTTGCTGGATCATAGTGTGCCTAGAGTGGAGCAGTGTCAGAAAACAGGATGGGTAAAAAGGAGCCAGGTTGTAAGGAACTTTAAATGCCAAACAGAAAGATTTTTCATTTGATCCTGGAGCAGCTGAGGGGTCTGTGTCTGTGTGTGTTTATGTGTTAGGATATGGGAGATGACATAGACCTATGCTTTAGAAAAATCATTTTGGTAACTGAGTAGAGAGTATTAGAGTTCATGTTAAAGTGTGGGAGAAGCTTGAGTCAGGGAGACCAATTAGAAGATTATTTCGGTGGTTGAAATAGAAGTAATGAGGGCCTGGACTTGAATTGTGTCTGTGAGTGGAGAGAAAGAGACCATAGAACAGATATTGTGAAAGTAGAAAGAGACCATAGAACAGATATTATGAAAATAGAAAGATTTGACAATGGACTAGGTGTTGAGGTGAATGAGAGTTGAGAAGTCTGGGATGACACCAAGTGAATGAGAAGGTGGTAGCTGCCTCCACAGTAATAGGGAAGTTCAGAAGACAAGTGTTTGGGGGATGACGGAAGATAGAGTTCTGTTTTGGACATGCAGAGTTTGAGATTCTTACTTACTCCAGTTCAAGATGTTTAAAAAGAGGTTGGTGATACAGGACTAATGCTCATCAGAGAAATTAGGACTGGATATATCAATCTGAAAATTATCAGCATTGAGATGAATGTCATGTGAAATAATGAAAAAAAAGTGGAAAGGAGGGGAACCTAGAAGTACTAAATATCAAACTATGCCATGAAGCTATATTCATCAAAATTATTTGGTACTGGTTAAGAAATAGAGTGGTCAATAAGAAAGATAGATTAGGTACGCATTATAGAAATGGAAACTAGCATAGTAGGCCAATGTTCTTTAAATCCAATAACGCTGTCTACTAAGGTAAGGATTCATCACTGTTTGATGAAAAAACTTCTGGAAAAAATTGGAAAGTAATCTGGTAAAATTTATATTTAAACTAGGAGTTCTTAATCTTTTTAGTGTCACGGACTTCTTCAGCAGTCTGATGTTGCCTACAGATTCCTCTCAGAATAATATATTTAAATGCATAAAATAAAATACTTAGGATTACAAAGAAAAATAATTACATTGAACTACAATTGTCAAAAAAAAATTTACAACAAGTTCATGGAGCCCAGGTTAATAATCTTGGAGTTAGGTTAGCACCTCTCACCATAAAACAAGATAGGCAACAAATGATTATATGAATTAGATATTAAAGGTCACATCATAAATAAATTATGGAAAGAAGCAAGGAAGAAATTACCTTTCAGATCTATGGGCAGGGGAAGAGTTCATAACCAAAACAAGTTGTAAAGAGGATCATGAAAGATAAAATAAACTATTATGACTACATAAAATTAAAAAGGGTTTTCACAAACAAAACTAGTGTAGCTAAGATATAATGGAAATAGGTTACTGGGAAAGAAGCCTTGCAGCAAGTTTCTATCATAAAGATCTCATTTCTAATATGTGTAAGAATCTGATTCAAATTTATAAGAAGAACAATTTCCCAATAAATTGTCAAAGGATATGAACAGGCAGTTTTCAAAGGAAAAACCAAACTACCAACAACCATGTGAAAAAAAAAATACTTCAAATCACTATTAGAGAAGTACATATTAAAGCAACTCTGAGGTCCCATCTCACACCCATCAGATTGGCAAAGATAACAAAAGAGGAAAATAACAAGTGTTAGAAGAACTGTGGTAAACCAAGCACGTTAATGCCCTGTTAGTGGAGCTATGAATTGGTACAGCTATTCTAAAAAGCAATTTGTAATTATGCCCCCAAAGTTACTAACTTGTATGTACCCTTTGACCCAACAATACCCTTATTACTATACTCATACCCCGAAAGAGATCCAATAAAGAGGAAAAGGACCCATGTATACAAATGTATTTATAGCAGCTCTTTTTGTGGTAGTCAGTGCAGTGACCGTCCATGATTCCAGAGGACCCTTGGTGAAGTATCTTCCTGACAGGGAAGTGATAGATTAAGGTACAGAATGAGACTTAATTTTTTTGGACATAGTCAACTTGGAAATTTATTTTATTTGACTAAGTATATTTGTTACAAGAGTTTTGTTTTTCTTTTTCTTTTCAATGTTGAGAGTGG